TATCATTTTAATTTCTATATTTATTGTGTAATTTCATTCTGTATTGCAAGTATTTTTAAGTAATAAAGTATCAGTATTTCAAGTTCTGTATTTCTGTTATTTTTGTTTCTAAATTGTTCTCCAACAGGTGTCAATGTTCGTGTGGGCAATGAAGCTAGAGTTGCAGTAGAGTTCATTGGAGTAGTTAGGCTTGAATTATTTTCTAGTTTTTTGCTAGATTTGGTTGATGTTGCTTATATACCTTCCATGAGAAGGAATTTAGTTTCAGTTAGTGGGCTTGTTAAATCAAAATTTAAGTTTGAAATTAATGAGATTGGTTTTTCAATATTTTGAAGTTATGAGCTAATTGGTGATGGACTGTTGACTGGTGATATGTTCAAGCTTAACTGCAATATACCAATAAGTGTGGTTAACACAGTAAAGCAAAAACGACACCTCATTCAAATTATGGCACAAATGGTTATGGCACATTTCGAGGGAGAGAATGCAAAGATTGACTAAAGAATAAATCCTGCCATCACTGAATTATGGTGATTTTGATATTTGAACCAACTGCATTAAGGGAAAAATGATGAGTAATTCAAAGCTACCTACTTTTCTTTAGGGAGAAACAATCAAAACTGCAAATTACTTGTTGAATAGAGTCATGGCAAGTCTGTTCCCAAGATACCCTTCAAATTGTGAACCAGCAGAAAACGAGTGCTCAATCACTTAAGAATTTGGGGTTGCAAAGCAAAAGCAAGATCATACAATCCAATGGAGAAGAAGCTAGACCTTAGAACAATCACATACTTCTTTGTAGGGTATCTAGAAAGAACTAAGGGTTACAGGTATTGTCCCAACCATACCTCGAGGTTCATTGAAACTGGGAGAGCCAAGTTCATTGAAGAAGCTAGTGATGATCAATAGGAAGAGAATCTTGACTGGAATGAAGAAACCACAGTACTGCAAGATGAAAACCTAGGTGATGCTGTGACAAATGGAGTTCTTACGCCAATTCTAGTGCAAAATACAAATGAACAAATTGAATAACCAATACAGGTTGTCCAATAAGAAGAAATGGTTGCAGCTAAACAACCCACCAGCTTTTCAAGATGAGCACATTGAACTTGTGCAAATGGAAACCAGAAAATCCACTCGTGCAAGAAAGCCTGCAATCTTATATGACTTCCTTGTGTATTTGCAAGAAGCTGAGTTTAATAGCCAAAAAATAAGATCCGTTAAACTTCAAGAAAGCAATTGAGAGTTCAAATAATGAACACTGGCAAAAAACTATGCAATCAGAATTAGATTCCATGGATAAAAACAAAGTGTAGGAGTTAGTTGAGCTTCCACAAGGGTGTAAACCAATAGGGTGTAAGTGGGTTTACAGAACAAATAAAGAATCAAATGGTGAAATTGAAAGATACAAAGCTAGACTTGTAGCAAAGGGTTATACTCAACAAGAAGGAGTTGATTACAAACCTTTTCCCTAGTCTCTACAAAAGACTCTTTTAGAGTGATCATAGCACTAATGTCTCACTTTGATTTATTTCTGCATCAAATGGACGTTAAGACTGCATTCTTGAATGGAAATCTTGAAGAAGAGATCTATATGAAACAACCAGAGGGTTTGATTCAAGAAGGGAGAGAAAGTTTAGTATGTAAACTTAAGAAGTCCATTTATGGATTGAAATAAGCCTCGAGACAGTGGTATTTGAAGTTTGATGAGGTTGTTTCATCATATTATTTTGAAAAGAGCCTTAGTGATGAATGTGTTTATATGAAAAGGAATGGAAACTACTTTACTTTTCTCATTCTTTATGTCGATGACATATTACTAGCATGCAATAATGCATCATTGTTGAGTGACACCAAGAGATTTCTGTCAAAACACTTTGAGATGAAAGATATGGGAGAGGCAGCTTTTGTTCTTAGGATTCAAATCATAAGAAATCGAAGCAAAGGGCTACTTGGTTTATCACAAAAAGCATATATTGAAAAAGTACTTAAAAGGTTCAATATGGAATACTCAAATGGCTATGATGTTCCAATGATAAGGGAAGGGAAGCTCAGTAAGGATCAGTGCCACAAGACTGAGTTTGAGAGAAACAAAATGGCTAGCAAGCCTTATGCTTCACTAGTTGGGAATCTTATGTATGCACATGTATGTATCAGACCTGAATTGCATATGCCATTAGCATACTGGGAAGATTTCAGTCTAATCATGGTAATGCACATTGGATAGCAGCTAAGAAGGTTTTAAGATATCATCAAAGAACTAAAAAGTACAACCTGGTGTACAAAAGGGATTCAAGACTTGAGCTAGTAGGCTATAGTGACTCAGATTTTGCAAGTTGCCTTGATTCACTTAAGTTAACTTCAGGTTATATATTCACGTTGGCAAATAGGGTAGTGTCATGGATAAGTGTGAAATAAGATATTGTTGCCACTTCTACCCAAGCTGAGTTTGTAGCTTGTTATGAAGCTACTTCACAAGCTGCATGGCTGAGAAATTTTATCAGCAGTCTCGAAATTATGGATTCCATAGCAAAGGCTGTTCAAATTTGGTGTGATAATAAAGTTGTTGTCTTTTATTTTAAGAATAATAAAAGGTCTCCTAGAACTAAGCATCTGAACACCAAACATGCGTTGACTATAAAAAAAAGGTGAAGTATGGAGAAATCAAGGTTGATTACATTGACACTCATGCAATGCTTGCTAATCCAACATTTATATTGTTTTTTTTATTTTTTTATAGAGATAATAAGACAAAAATGAAAGTAATATAAAATATTGACGTGGCTTAACCGTGACCACACAAACAGGAGGGTACTGGAAGTGGAAGGGCAGACAATCCTTGTCCTATATATTTACCTCCTCTTAGTTATTAAAATTTTAAGAATATTAAAAGAGAAAAATAAAATAATGAGGGGATATTCATAACTTTGAGGGGGCGTTTGTTGCGCCGGACTATCTCGGACTGGATTAGCTTCAAGGACTAAGCTGGACTGGCTTAGACTAGACTAAACTGGATTAACTTAGTGAAGCGTTTGGTGCAGTATTGGACTAAGAAGCTGGATAATAACAAATTCTAATATTATATTATTTAAAATATAAATTATTAATATTTTATTATGATCTTATCTTTTTCTCCATCTTTTCCTACCATTTCCGTCCCACTCTTTTCCTCTTCTCTCATCGTCCCACCCTATCCCTCTTTTTTTCCTCTTAGACCTCTCAATTCATGTCTCTTTCTCATTCCTGATCAAACTCCTTATTGATTCAAGTCTCTATTTCTCTGTCCTCCCTCCCTCTCTAGCTATGCGTTGTTCGAACGGAACCTCACGGCTTCAATTTTCCCGACGAGTTACAGGTTTCCCGATGTGTTTTCCGACCAACCTTCATTAAATTGGATAAAGTTAGCACCGCCAAAAAATTCATCACCATCCCTGGACCGAGATCTTAGCTTTGAATGCTCGAATTTGTCATGGATTTGAAGAAGCCCAAACAGGCCGAGACTTCCAGGCCATTTTCCGGCCACATTCGACCACATTTTAGCCTCGATTCAGGTAAAATCGTAATCTTGTCACTCCCAGCTTCAATTTGGTATATTTTATATGAAAGTTGGTTGTGAAATGGATCTGAAAGAGAGTCGGAAAGTTAATGATTGATCTAGGTGACTGAAGATGACGAGGAGTCTGTCGGGAGTGGTCGTTGAGCATGACGAGGACGAGAAAGAGAGGATAGTCTTAGCTAGTCCCATGGTTATTGGGGGGTCTCGCTAAGACCTCTTAGTGAAGGGTTTTGTCCATGCTAGTCCCCTTTAGTCTCATTAATGTTAGTCCCAGCATGGAACAAACACAGTATTGGACTAATAGCTAGTCCAGTCCAGTCCAGTCCAACTTAGTGAGGGCAAACAAACGCCCCCTGAGGGTATTAGGATTCCCAGTTGCATGCTATCCGAGGTTGTATCTGTTTGATGATTAAGATGAATTATTGTCAATTTATTCTTGTCCGAATGAAAAGTATGTTGGAAAGGAAAAGATGAGACCTGTTTCAAGAATTTAGTTTGAATAAAATTTATCTCTTCTAATCACCATAATAATCCAGATAATTTATTCATATCATAGTGAGTAAATTCATGTATTATAAAAGTACGTACATGCATATTTTTTTAAAATACATTTATTTTTTACACTACAAAAAAGTTGGGCACTGTGCACAAAAAATTCATTGTGCTCTTTGATACTTAAGGACACCAACATATGTGCCCATAGATCAATAGCTACAATGCAGCAACTAAAATTTTATATGTGCTCTCTATGAGCGTTGCCTTTGATCATAGGACACCATATGACATTTTGTGCTCAAAAAGTTTAGCACCAATAGGGGTTTTTTGTGCCTTTATTCTGACAACCTTGTCAGATGACTTTCCCAATCTATGTTAGCACAATTTTAGTAATCATGCACTCTAAGCTAAATATTTAAAAATAAAAAATTTATCAAAACTCAAAACTCAAAATAGCCTACAAATTGAAACTGAGACTCAACAAAAAATAATTTTTTTCATAAAATCAAAATAGCCCACAAGGGCCACAACCACAAGCATCTAGAATATTATAATTTACAAAGATATTCTAAACCATCAACCAATATATATTAACACAACTATAATTTTACACACTTTATCCTCAACTAAAAAAAAACAAATTGAAAACAAGCATTTCTGGACACTTGAATATTTCCCAAAAAGCTTTTTAATTCATCCCATCTTCTTGTTCCACAAATAAATTAATCAGCCGGTCTATATAGAATCTGGGCCTCTTCTTGCCAAGGTTAGGAATAAAAACCTCGAAGGATAAGGAAACCATACAACTTACAAGAACAACGACAATGAAGGGAAAATACATGAATATCAAAGTACATGTATCTTCTCTAAAATGATTTGAATAAGTTCACAACATCACCGACAATTTTGAAAACTCATTCTTAACAATTGTATTCATGATATCAGTAGGTAGAATGTTAAATCTAGAGTCATGTAATTTAAGTATAGTGATCAGACACCAAAATAAATACACCATAATTTCAAACCACTTCCACATTCCATCTCAAATTACACACCAACGAAAACAAAAATTAAAATCAATACCTATTTGGATTCGAAACAAAAGCAGATCAGCATTAAATCTCAACCATTTGTAATACACAATATGTCAAAATCAGGCTGGGATTAACAGGAGTTTGATTTTGCCAAAATCGAGGCCAAGGGATGGCCGGAAATTGGCCTGAAAGGCCAGTTTAGGTCCCTATGAATCCCTGAATGGGACTATGGGGAGTTCGTTTGTGGTGTCAATCTCGTCCAAGACGACGAGATTTGTCGGAAAATCTCCAGAAACCTGCAACTCGCCGGAATAGTAGAGAACGTTTGCTCTTCGTTCAATCTCGCAAACGTGGAGGAAATTTCACATGCAAGGATAGAAAACAACTTAGAACATCGTAAGGAATTAAACGGAGGTAGTTACGAGCCTTACCTCTCTCGGATTCGAGACGAAGCTCTGGTTCTCCGATTTGAGGTTCGAGTCTATGGTCTGGGACTCTGGGTTCTAGTTTTGTGTTTGGTGTGAGGTTGGGACGAGGATGGTGGTGATTTGGTGTTCGAAACGAGGTGGCTGTGTTGCTCGGGGAGAAGCGAGCCAAGAGAGAGAAGAGAAGGATAAGGGACAGAGGGAGAAATAACTGTGAGAGAAGTGAGGGAGTTTGACTGAGAGCAGAATGAGAACGTGAGAAGAGGAACCGGGGTAGAAGGGAGAGAGGTGTGGGTCCAATAGGCACACAGTCCAACTCCAAAAAATTTAAGTGATAGATAATTTCAAATAATGTGAAGTGGCTGGTTACTTTAATTTGTTAATGAGCACAAATATATATTTTGTCTTCTCTTGATCAAAAAACAAATATATATATGCCATAGCAAGACTTGCTCAAAGAGCAACTATGGCCAGACTCTCCATATACGTGGAATTCCACTTCCTCACCCTTAATCAAATCTCATCTGGCTCCCATTATTAACATAACTAATAAATAAAATTTAAATGTAAAATAACATATTCTATCTTCCTCACCTCTCTCCTCTGCACTCTTTTTCTTCCTGATGGACGGAGAGCCAAAAAAATTCAAGAATTCTTAAATTTTTGTTGGTTTGTGGACTCTTATTCAAATAAATTTCGACTCCATAATTTTTTCAAGAACTAATCCAGTTGATAAAGCCCTGTAATTTGACAGCAGAAAGTATCGAATAAGAAAATAAATTTAGAAAACATCCGTTCGATCCGTACAGTGGATCTGTCAGGTGATGGTGATGAAACGCGTGTGTGTGGGGCACCTTGATCAATAAAAACTAATACTAAAATATGATTTGTGTCCAGACTAGTGAAGGAAGACACGAACATTGTGCCTATAAAATCAAATGATTTAAATATATTAAAATAGAGGGCATGAAAATGTTTTTTTGTGTTTTTGTAAATTAATAAATAAAATTAGAAGTACGGATATCCATTTTGTGTTCAAATTTTAATAGGCACAAATACATTTTTGTTTAGACACAAACTAAGGTGCCTTTTTGTTCAAAAAGCACATTTGTGATAGTCTTGTGTTCATTGACATCTAAGAGCACCAATATATATTTGTGCTCAATGAAATTGAAAAGGGCACAACTCAATTGTGTTCTTAGACCATATATTTTTGTAGTGTTATGCATGTCTTAATAATTCATTAAATTTTAAATTTTTTAAAACTCCAACGTACTATATGTGTGTTATACACATGTGTATGTACTTTAAATTTTAACGTTTAATATACATTATTTTGACACATTTTTTAATAATGCATATAAAACTCACTTATTCTATACATATTTTTCAAGGAGCATTATTTGGAGAGACAAAATTACAACCAATATTACATACGCTGCTACATTTAACAGTTACTGCAATGAACACAAACCGTCGTGCAAAGAAGAATTTTGTCGCCCCAAACATTGCACGACGAAACTTTCGTCGGGCAAAGCTCATGAAGTTAGAATTTGCGCAACAAAGACACCAAAAGCGTCACGCAAAGACATTTGCGCCATAAAAATGCATTTTGTCGCAATAATTTTTAATGGACAAAGACCTTCGTGGTGCAAGATTTATCACCTCGAAGACATATCATCGCCTTGAAGTAAGAGATAAGTGTTTGGTAAAGATCGATATGTATGAATATGATAACTTAATCTTGGAAAAAATACGATAAGTAAATACAAAAGTAAAGAGACCTCATCTTCACAAGCATGACATATAATCTAATGTATGTGTATGTATTTATATTGGGTTTATTTCTTGTTATCGTTGTTTTTCTTTGGTTTTGTGGAAGGTTGATTTTACTGACATTCCACAATAACACACCTCGCTTGTTGAAAACATTTTCTTTTCTTTAACAAACAATATTATCTACGATAAGAGAGAGGGAGTGGGCTTAGCCTCACAATATGTTAGCAATAATGTAGTTCAAACTCATATTTTCAAACCTAAGACATTTCACTTACAAATGAAAAGGAATACCATTAAACCGTAGTACTAAGTGATAACATTTTCACTTATTTTAGTTCATGAATCATCTTAAAACAACCACCTAACTCAAACAAACTACCCTCAAACCACCATCTTCGTCGTAACACTCGAATCTCGTACACCAAAAACACGAACTCTTCTAGCTTTTAAAAAATAATAAAAACACACACAAACTCTTTTTTTACCATGAACAATTTTGGTGGTTGGTGGAAACCTGTTGAAAACTTTACAGTTTTGATTGGTAGCTATTAACCTATTAGAACAATTTCATTGTTGACCTACTAAAACACCATTTTGCAGTATTTTGGCCCGCCTCACATGTGGCAAATTCATAAACCTAAAATTCTTCTCTTTGTTTGTTTGAAGATGTTGACCTTAAACATGTCTTTAGGAAGGCTAGAAGTTTAATTGATTTTTCTGATGCCCAGTGACAAGAACAAACAAAAAATTAAAATTAAAACATAGAAGTGACAGTGATTTATCACTTAAGTTAATTACAAGTCGCTTGCAATTCACATCGGTTTGTAGATAATTAGAAAACATATTTGTTGGAATATGAAAGGCAATCGCACTAGTAAATTAAAAAACCTTTTGTGCGACGAAACACACATCGTTGTGCATAGTCACTATGGGCGATGAAATTTTAAACTTCATCGGGCAAAGTCTTGCGCGACGAAATTTTAAGTGACGAAACAAACATCATCGCTCAAAGTCGCGTTGCAAAGTCTTTACAAAAATAAAAAATTATTTTTTAAAAAACTTTGCGCGACGAAATTCAAATATTTTGTCGCTTAAACCAATTTATTTTCTTTTTTTATTTAATTTTATATTATAAATTTTAAAATATAGTTATTTTCATAAGTTTTTATTATTTTTTAAAAACTTTGCACGACAAATTTTATTTGTTTTTTATTTAATTTTATATTTATATTGTTAAACTAAATTATTTTCTTTATGTGATGAATCAACATTTGGTCACCTAAACCTCATTTATATTTTAAATTGTTAAATAAAATTATTTTCTTTTTTATTATTTATAAAAATTATTTTTTTAAATTTTGCGTGACGAGCATATATTTTGTCACACAAAATCCTCAAATTTGGGCGAGCACCAAAATGCGACGAGAGAATTTTTTTTTTTTTTTTTTTTTTTAAGACTTTACTCGACAAATCTTTCGTCGCGCAAAACCCTAAAAATTTGGGCGGGGCCAAAAATGGAACACGGGAAATTTATTTTTAAAACTTTGCACCACCAACCATTTCTTAACAAGCTTTGTGCGACAAAAATTTCGTCTCGCAAGGTTTTAAGTGACGAAATCATACTTTGCGCAACAAATCTTATTTTGTCGCTCTAATTGTTTTTTGTAGTAGTGTCATTAGATGAGCTTATGAGATTGTTAGTTCTTAGAAAACTTTTTAGTCATTGTTAGCATAGAGATAAGCTTTGATTGTTAGAAAGAGAGGTTAGCATTGTTTTGAAGGGTAGTTTTACTGATGTAAGAAGATTTATCTCATTGTAATATAATTAAGAAACAATTATGCGATACAAATCCTTGATTTATGTGTGCCTACTCACTACTTTCTCTCTCTACGTTCATCTTCTCATCTTAACAGTACTTTGTATTCCTTCTTAATTGGGTGGCCCGTGGCCATTAGTATTTAGTAGTGCTCCTGGATTTTGCCTTTCTGTGGTAACGATTTTTTTTTATATAGAATAACATGCAACCCAAAGATTCGTATATATATCTGCTGGGCATTTGGATAGACCCTTAACTAGTAATGGTGATAAACCTAAAAAGTAATACGACAGGTTGATGCATGCAGCGAAAGACCCTTACGTCGGTCTAGTGACATAGTTTTTTTTTTTTTTTTTTTTAGTGTCACTACTAAATTAAACAGTTTGTACGACGAGGAAGATTTTGTCGAACAAATCATTATTAGGTCGCACAAAAACTATGGCGACCAGAAAATTGTCGCGCGTATTTTGTCGCACAAATGTCATGAAAAAAGACATTGCCCAACGAACAATTTCAAACTCATCGTGCAAAAAAAAATGGCGCGACGCTTTACTACTCGTCGCACTAAAGTTATACGAACAAAGGTTTTTGTCGTATGATATAAAAGGGTACGAGTGCGCTTTGTGACTAGTTCATCTCAAAAAGTTTGCACGACGAAAAATGTTAGAGGCGTGTGGTAATGTGTGACGAAGTTATAGGACGCACTTAATTTTGCGCGACGACTGGTCGGTGTCGCGCAAGTGTAATTTTTATTAAAAATAAATAAATAGAATAAAAGAAAATTAAAAAAAAAAGATTTCATACTAATGAAAAAAAAAAAAAGCAAATTAATGAATAAAAATGTACGTACAAATATAAAGTTTTAAAAGAAAGCGGGAACAAAACTATAAAAAAAAAAAAAGCGGAAAAATCTATAGGAATGTCGTTCGAAGGATCTTGATGCTGGTTGGGGACGGGTCGGAGGTCGACGAGCTTGATTGTTGTGGTTGCTCAGTGTGGAAAAGCTGTGAGGGCGATGGTGCAAAAAAACCAGGGAGATGTAATCTGGAGGAACTGAGGGCTTGTATAAGCATCAACATTTGAGACTTGTACAATGCCAGCTCACTCCTTAGTCCAGCGACTTCTTCCGTCAAAGCCATAACCTAGCGCTTTGACTGCAAGGATGACGAGGCTTTACTCTCTCGCCGCTTGGCATTTCCCATCCCCCCGACAATAAGTCTCTGGCCTCCGACCGAAAGTCTAGTCCAACATCTCTGTCACGATGTGAAACCCTGCATCTTCAGGGGGATCCACAGACTCAATCGGCGTGTCCGAGGGAAGCTGGGAGGCGGACTCTTGAAGCATCGACTAACTCTTCTTCACCATAGTCACCTGTGAAAAAAACATGGATTATTAATAGAAAACAATTTGAAATAATTAGTATAAATGTTGAATGCATAAGAAATTACTTACATGAAGGGACTCGGTCAACTCATCCCCAGGCCAAACATAAACTTCAGCAAAGACGTCGATCTCCGGAAATTTTGAACCCTCCTAAAATCAAAAAAGATAAGGAAAATGTTAGTAAGAAAAAAAAAATTATTAGCGACATTTTAAAATTGGAAATGAAAGATGTAATATATACTTTCCGTCGCGCCTCCATCCTATAAGAGAAAGGCCTCGAACCCAAATAGTGGAGAAAAGTCTTCTTCTCCCGATTAGAAC